CTTGCGAACTTATCTAGAATCTTTTTCTTCTGGACTGACGTTTGTGAGGTGTATTTGATTCTATCATTAAGTTTCAACAGTAATCTGATAACATTGTAGCACTATCTTTGCCACAATATCTGTTCTCCATAATGGAAATATCTTAATGGAATCTTTCACCGTGTTTATCACTCACGTTACCAAGGTTGCACCGAAAAAAGTTTAACAAGGGACATCACCCAATTGATACACACCGATTTTGATGAAATTTTTGTATGTTATGGAACTCGAAAAAATATTTGACACGTATTTTTTTTATCGGTGAACATCCACTTTGAAATTGTGAAAATAACCCTTAAAGTTGGGGTTGAGAAAGCTATTTTCCCAAATATTTTGGGAGCTATTAGGCCTAGACAAAAAATTCAAAGTGCAAATTTTTCTGTTTTCGAAGGCCAATAGTATGGCGTAAGTGGATTTTTGAAAAATGTATTTGTTTAAAAAATATGTTAAAAATTAATATTGTTTTGCAAATATTTTTAATAAAACGTTATACCATTTTGATCAAATTTCGCATACATAAAGTATGAGTCCAAAGAAGAAATACGGATAAATTGTAATTTTTAATTTCGCTTCTGAAAAAAATAATGCTGTCGTTGAAATTATACGTCCATTTTATGCCTTCCGTTCGGGGCACGACTGATTTCTGTACATAATAATCTGAAAATTGTATTATATTAAATTTTTTATATTAATTTATTTAAAAAAAGACCTTAAGGGTCCATAGGTGCCTCTGTAAAAATATGGGGTCTATTTGTTCCGCGTTATGTCCGCATGATAGGCGCGTACTGGTGGCAGTATTCGACGCACGGAAAATCTTAACGCGTAAATTGTACTTATGTGAAATGTAATATCTTTATAGTGACGTAGAGTATATGCAATTAAAGGAAAGGCATCTGTTGATTAAGAATTACCTCACGATTGTAACATATACGAGGTGTGACACAAGAGTAACGAGACTAGTCCAATAAATCATTGTATCTTCAGAATTAATTCTTCATGACATTATCACCTTCAAAATAGTCCCCTTCAGCATTCACACACTTCTGCATTCGGCGCTGCTATTGCTGGTAACAATTGTGGAACGAGATTTGTGAAAGTCGGGAGATTCTCCGTTTTTGCCTAAACCTCTTCAACTGAGGATGCCCTTTAAGCAAAATTTAACTTTAAGAAATAAAAGAAAGTCGCATGGAGCCAAAGCAGGTGAATAAGGAGGATGCCCTATCACAGTAATATTTTTACTGGTCAGGGACTGCTTGACAGACAGTACCGTGTGAGCGGGTGCATTGTTCTGGTACAACAGCCATCCATCGCTCCACAACTGGCCTCTTTTTCCTAATTTTTTCACGAAGTCTTTTTAGTACATCAATGTAATAGTATTAGTTAACAATCAGACCACTGGGAAACCACTCAATCATTACAATTCCATTAATGTCGAATTTTGATTTTGACATGCGTGCTTTTTTGGGTTTTGGGGATCCTGAAGACTTCCACTGCATCGACTGGCACTTACTTTCTGGGTCATAGGTAAAAATCCATGTCTCATCACATGTTACAACAGATTTCAACAAATTTTACAAGAAACTTGATGTTTGTTCGTTGTTTGGGTTTTACATTGGACATTTTTCCGACAGAATGCAGATGCACGTGTTTACTCAATGATGTAATACTCCCAAATGGCATGACGGATTAAATCGAAATTGGCGACATGGATAGAGGATATGTGTGGGATGATGCTACCAAAACAGTTTCTGCCAACTCCATTGTTTTTTCAAACTGCATACCTAATCTCATTTTTTTTGTGTCATACCTCGTACGTGCTCAGTGCCGGTCCTATGAACTTTTCCTAACTTACATATGGAAATTTCCAAATTTTTTAATTTCCAAATCGCCCAACTTGCAAGTTTCCAAATTTTCAAACTGTTAAATTTAAGGAATCCTAGAATCCAAGTCCTAAAATTTCGAAATTTTAAAAGTTGTAAATTTTCAATTTCCAAATTTTTGAATACTTTAATATTTGTTGCTGAGAATTTGCTAATTAAATTATTGTATCAGCTTTGTATATTATCGTTGTAACAGTATATCGCTTTCGGTGTTACTAAATACATAAACACATACAACCTTCTATTTGAATAAAAGTTGAATATGTATTAATAACTAGTTCATTATTTAATTTAGCAAACTCCTAAAATTTACGTATTTTGTAATATAAAGTATTTAATATACTTGTAATATTTAAAACTTTCCTTGATAACGTTACGGATTATGTATTATATTTCTTTGTACGTTGACCAAAGTTTGAACTTATCGGGCTTATCTGTATACGGATAGTATTAAACAGTACCTACTTACCGTAACATTTTAGTTAATGAAGATGTTTAAAATTCTGTCCATCAAAATTGTCATTATTGCTTTTATAAAACATAACATATGTAACATCCCTGGGGAAACTTTTTTTTCCTACCACCATCATCACGACAATCTTGTATCCGCCGATGGGAATCGATAATTATCGACAGTAGTTGCCAAATTACCGACAGTATGTCACGTATCGATTATCGATCCTATTAGATTCGACAGTCGGTAACCAATATATATATATATATTAACATTTAAATTAATTATCTCATAATTTTGATTTAGAGTAGAACAAGATTAGAACAATTAGAACAATTAGTAGAACGATTAGAACAAGATAATGTATTATTTTATTTTATTTTTCTAATAAATAGTTTTGTATAAGAAATTTCCGTTACGCTATGATGTGCCTACGTGCCGCGATACTCGCCCGAAATCCTTGAGATCAACGCTAATCCTAGAAAAGGATAGAGGTACTATTTCTATTTACGGCATTATCAGATATTAAATGAATTAATTAACTATATTAATTAATTAACTAAATCAATTTATATATGTAAAATCAACCAGTACTAAACTATTCATGGCCGGAACCAAAATTATTTCCTTCAATTAAATAGCTGTAAATCGGAATAGATTCGGCTCTCGTAGAATTCGTGCGCAGTTGATTAGGAAAGGACAGAAAATATATTTTTCGCTAAAACACTGTAACCGTACAAGGCACGCTCACATATTAGCGATTCATAGTTCGCGGATTGCGGGATGGGATAGAAAGCAATTAGGCAAATTATTTCGTCACGCGTCCAAATAACGCATGCGTGTGATCCCCTCCAGGTAACAGGTGAGCGATCGACCCGCAAGCCGTGAGATCGATCGTCACTCTGATCTCTATCGGCTTCTAGATCACTCGTAATCCTAACAAGGGGGTCCGCCTAGCGAAAAACGGAACATAGCTTGAGTCAAACTGACTATCGAACACGCAGTAAAACGGCTGGTGCTCGCGGTTATTGTTCGCGCCTCAAACTGAGGAGTCGTTGATCCAAACTGTATCACGGCACGGTTACGCGTTATTCCCGCGATTTGGAAAATCGGAGATTTTGCATCCGGGGGATCAGAGTCAATTAGGAAAGCCACGCCAGGTTTACGTACATTCGAAGATCCGAGAACCGAGACTCATTTATTTCTAAAAGGTGCCTCTCCCATCTCGAGTACTCGCGAATGTCGTACGAGTGAAGCCAATGGTGATAACGTGTTTGAGGCCCTAGATCCCAAAAACTCGTTTTTCATCCATTCCTGAGCTCAGGCATTTTAATGCAATTTGCAGTGCGAAGTAGGTGACGTGATAACTCTAATAGACAGGAAACTTCCAAGTTATTGTTAATTTGAAAATCGGAGAAACGAGACCCGCTCGCTCAGACGAGTGCCTCTCCCATCTCACGTATAGACGAATTACAAACGAGCAAAGCCAGGGGTGATAACGAAGCTTCAGGCCCCAGAAACCCTTAGGTTCGTTATTCACTCTCTCCTAAGCTCGGGCAGTTTACTGCAATTTGGAAGTTCTTTTTGGTGTGACTCGGAACCAGAATTGAGGATTTGGAGCTATCGTTATCCTTGCGTGTTGTGAGTTACAGAGGGGCCGGAACCCACACAATTCTCGAGTGTGCATTCCTTCTCTTACCGTTAGCTAATAGCCACAGTGGCGTGGCCAATGTCAAATGTGATTGAGTGGCTCACAAACCCACTGATCATATTTTGAACATTCCTGTGTCACACGCTCTAAAGAGCGTAGTCTAACGATAGTGCGCCGCGAGTTGAGCACCAGCATCCTAGCTAGAATAACTTGCAAACAATGTATTAAAGTCAAAGGGGTTTTTGTCGCACGTGTCACTTGCCGCGGCCTTGTCAAGGCCGAATATATACTTACCACGCGAGGTGACGAACGCTCGTCTGGATATAAACATCGGTAGCTAGCGAATTCCAAAATCGTTTTTGTCAACTCTCCGGAGTAATAATAACAGAAATCAAGTCTAAAGCGGATATCGCAATCTCCCATCAGCGGATTTGCTTTTCGAAGAATTTTGCCGTTAGTATCGCGGGGACACGTTCAAGCGCTCGGGGCATAAAAACAAAGAATTTATAAACCACCCATATTAAATACCAAAATTTAATAAATTTCGTGTGTATCAGATTTCAACGAGTGTGTCATTGGCTGAATTGCTATCCTTCCTCTTGCCTTGAAATCTTTCAACGCGAACCCTATTCTAAAAACGGTCCGAACTCTCCTATCGTGTCCATCTACTTTCGCTCGACGAATCGGGATAGAAAAAAAAAAAGGGGGAGGAAAAAAGTGTTACAACACCGTTATACTGTTATTTTAATATCGAACTGTTAGCCAGAAATTAAAGAGCAATATTTAAAATACTAGGGGGCTGTGCCCCCTGGCC